ATAGCTTCCAAGACTGAGCTATTATGAGTTGTGCTGCTATAAACATGAGTATGCACACATCACTGGAATATGATATTTTTAACTCTGTTGGAAAGATCCCTACAAAGGGAGTACCCGGGTCAAAAGAAGTTTCTAGTTTTAGTTTTTTGAGGAATCTTGTATTGATTTTCATAGTGGTTATACTAGTTTACATTCCCACCAACAACATAGGAGGGTTTCTTTTCCCACCACCTCACCAGCATTTGTTGTTTTTTGAGTTCTTGAGGACAGATGTTTTCCTACAGAAGGATAGACTCTCAGTGTTGTTTTGATTTGCATTTTCTCTAATGGCCAGAGATGTTAAATGTTTTTTTCTTGTTCTTATTAGTTGTTTGTACTTCTGAGACATGTCTATTCATTTCAGTTCCCCATTTTTTGATTTGGTCTTTTATTTGGGGGGGGGCTCTAATTTTTTTGAGTTCTTTATATATTCCAGATATTAGTCCTCTGTCCAAGGAGTAGCTGGCAAATTTTTTTCCCATTCTATGGGTTATCTCTTCAATCTGTTCGTCATTTTCTTCGCCTATGTCTTCAAGTGTTTTATCTGTTTTATCTTCAAATGGATTCAGTGTTTCTGCTTTAATATTAGACTTTCAATCCATTTTTATTTTATTTTAGTGCAGGGTGAGAGATATGGGTCTAGATTCATTCTTCTGTATGTGGATAACCAGTTTCACCAGCACCATTTGTTAAAGAGGTCATCTTTCATATATGTGTGTGTAGGGATTGAACTTGAATTCAGGACCTTGCGTTTGGGAGGCAGGTGAGATGCCACTGAGCTAAATGCCAGGCCCTCCTATATATATATTTTTTTGGCTCCTTTGTCAAAGATCAGATGGCTGAAGGTATCTGGGATTGTTTCTGTATCTTCAGTTGTTACATTAATCTACAAGTCTGTTTTTGTGCTGGTATGCTGTTTTAATCCCTGTAGCTTTGTAATATAATTTGAAATCAGGGATTGTGATGCTTTCTGCTTTGTTCTTGTTGCCTAAGATTCCTTTGGCTATTCTGGATCTCTCTGGTTCCATGTAAATTTTAGGACTGTTTTTTCTTGTTATGTGAAGAATGCTTCTTGCATTTTGATTGGGATTACATTGAATCTATGTACCATTTTCAGTAATGTGGCCATTTTGACAATATTGGTTTTGTCTATCCACAATGGGACATCGTTCCATTTTCAGATGTCTGCTTTAATCTCCTTTTTCAGAATGCTGCAGTTTTCATTATAGAGGTCGTTCACTTCCTTGATTAATTCCTAAGTATTCAAATTTTTTGAAGCTATCATGAATAGAATTGTTTTCCCAATTTCTCTCTAGTGGGTTCATTGTTGGTATACAGAAACATTGGTGATTCTTGTGTGTTTATTTTGTATCCCATTAACCTGGTTTTCTTTTTTTGGTACTAGTAATTGAGCTAAGGGGTTCATGTTTGCCAGGCAGACGCTGTGCCACTGAGCTACATCCCTGGCCCTACCTGATTTAAACATTGCACAATGTGCGAATGTATCAAAACATCACATTACCCCACTAGTGTGGCCAACTTTCAAGTTTTTATATATCAGCTAAGAAATATTTTTTTAAAAACAGGCACTGGCCAAGCCTCTCCCAGCTGAGAGGGAAAAACCACAGCAGGCAAGGAAACACTTCCAAATTTGCAGAGCTCGCTCTCTCTTCCCTATCTGTGCAGAGCTCTTCACTTCATCGCCTTGTCTTTGGCAGAGTCCTCTCGGCTGGTGCCTCCCTGGGGCCAAAGAGCAGAGACCTTCAACCCCATGTTCCTGTCACACTGTCCCCAGGCAGAGTCCCAAGACCAGGCTCACGTACCGTGCTGCTACCACATAGCCAAGGTCCCAGGGGCTTCCAAGCTAAGAGCCTGAAGGCCGCTCAGCCTGGCACCACTGGGGCACCGGGGCCAGCGAGTGGACAGGACACCGAACACAGTGCCCTCCCCTCAGCGCGGCTCCTCTCAGGGTTGTGCTGCTGAGCTCTCGGCTCGCTCTCTCCTCCCTCACCTCCTGCTGCCGGGGGCTCCCTGCACCCACCCCAGGCCCTCACAGCCACTTTCACCACCTCTGACACCTGATTTCCAGCCCGATGAGGGCAGTCAGTTCCAGGGATCAGAAGGAACACTGGACTGGGACCCCTGTCCTTGCAGATCGCATCCCGTTTAGAGCACTGTGGCATGCAGCAGTTCCCTCACTCGGGAGACCGACAGTCCCTCTCCAGCGTTGTCAAATGCTTGAACAAACAGCTCACAAAGTAAGATACGTGAATGAGAAATCAGTGCAAGCAGAGATGCTCAACATCATTAATCACTAGGGAAATTGGGATGGGAAAGCTTTATTAGCTTGGGACCCACCCAGCCTGAGAAAAGCACACTTCTGGGTAAGTCCAGGTGGCTCCTGGAATCGAAACCTTAGCACTGTATCTGGCCCCTGGCCCCTTCTCTCTGGCTCTGTCTCCCTGCTCTGCTTCCCAGCCACCATGAACTGAGCAGCTCTGTGATGCCACTTCCTCCCCGCAGGATGTCCCTGCCTCAGAGCCAGCTGCCCGTGGATTGAACCCTCCGAACAACCATGAGCCAAATAAACCACTCCTCCCGTAAACTGTGAGCGTCGGGTTTTGTGTCTCGGTGATGAAAAGCTGACTAATACAGAGATGAAAACTAAAACCACAATGAGAAACCCTCATACACTCACTCTAGCAATGACATTTAAAACCCGGACCACACCAAGTGTCACTGGGGATGTAGAACTACAAGGACTTTCATACACCGCTGGTGGAAAGGTTAACTGGTACAACCACTTCAAGACCAGTTTGATGGCCAGGTGTGATGGTGCAGGCCTCTAGTCCCAGTGCTCTGGAGGCTGAGGCAGGAGGATTGCTGTGAGTTCGGGGCCAGTCTGAACTACGTAGTGAAACCCTGTCTCAAAAGAAACAAGTTTGATGGTTTCTTTAATAGTTAAGCATTCACCTACATATTCACCTACATGGTTTCACTTTTAGGCGACATTCTCTATAGTAGCCAAGAAATAGAGCCCCAAAATGACTGGAAAAGCCAATTGCAGTCCATCTCTCCACTGAAAAAGTACTCAGTGACTTAAAAAAGGAAGGAAATTGATAGAAGCAACTATGTGGATGAATCTCCAAATAAGCCACACAAAACACAATACATGCTATAGGATCCCATTTCTATAAAATTCTAGAAAATGCGAACCAATCTATAGTGAGAAAAAGATCAATGTTTCCCTGGAGAGAGAGGCAAGAGGGAAGGAGTCCAAAGGGTATGAGGAAATTCTGGCTGTGTCAAGGCATTTTCACTGCCTCCGTGATAACGGCTTCTCAGTGCATGTACATAGGTCAGAACTGAACAAAGCAAGCCAGGCACCATGGCACATGACTGTGAGCTCAGCTCTCTGGGAGGCTGAGACAGGAGGAAAGCAAACTCAACCCCAGCTTAGGTGACTCAGTGACTTAAAGAGATCCCGTCTCAAAATAAAAGGGACTAGGATGTAGCTCAGTGCAAAGACCCTGGGTTCAATCCCCAGTACTATTTTTTTAAATGTCTGCTAGGATCTGGTGTTGATAATTGTCTTAGTCACTTTGCTCATAGCTGAGACAAAATACCTGACACCCACAAGTTAAAGGAGGAAAGGTTTATTTAGCTCATAGTTTGTAGAGGTTTCAGTCCATAGTCATCTGGCTGCAAGGCAGGGTGGCACAGCAGAGGGACATCGAAGAGGAGAAACTGTCCATGGCAGGCAGAAGGCAGTGAAGCAGTGAGCAGCCAGCAGCGAGACTACCTTCCCTCTCTCCCTTTATTTCCATCCAGGCTACCCACATTTTGGGTGGTGCCACCCACACGCTGGGTGGGGCTTCCCATTATCCACACCCAGAATCTGCTAAACCAATCAGTGCACTAATTTAGTATCACACACCCTTCATCCACATTCATACACCCTGGATCCAGCCAGCTCCGGAAAACCCCACCTCTGAGCACATGAGGCTTTGGGGGTCATCTAGATACACTAAAAGCCATCACAGTGACTACGAAGGGATTGACCTCACCAACCTGAGAGGGGCAGAAGCTGATGTGGGCACAGGGGAGGGCACCTCCTCAACACCCAGCAAAGCAGGGCCTCCGCCTTAGGACCCCGCAAGGGCTTCTGCTTCTAATTCTTCTCCTGCCCAGGAGAAACCCTTTTGAGAGCCTGGGAGCTGCAAAGCTATTTACTGCAGCACTGTAAGAAGAGGAGGCAAATGGAGGAAGAAATAGCCTCACTGTCCCTCAGGAGATCAACTCAGAGCACTTAAAATGAATGAACTAAACTGGACAGGGTGTGCACGCCTATAATCCCAGAATTAGGAAGGCTGAGTCAGGAAGATCACAAGTTTGAGCTCCGCCTGGGCAACTCAGTGACTTAGGGAGACCCTGTCTCAAAATAAAAAGGGCTGAGGATGGAAGTGTAGCTCAGAGCAAAGGCCCTGGGTTCAATCCCCAGTATCCCTCACCATACACACACACATGTACCACACACACATACAAAAGAAAGTGAAATGAGGAAATGGAATTTTTAAAAAAGGAACTTATTAAAGAGTACACTTCAAATATTTGCAGTTTATTGTGTGTCTATTTTGCCTTTAAAAAAGTTGTTATTTTTGAAAATTTTTTGTTTTGTTTTGTTTTTTGGTACTGGGGATCAAACTCAGGACCTTAGGCTTGTGAGGCAGGTGCTTTTTTAAATTTTTGAAAAAGAACAAACTAGTGATACATGTAACAACATGGTTTAGAGTTAAAAAATCATTACAGTGAACACAAGAAGACAGAAAAAAAGAAAATATATTGAAGCCAGGTGAGGTGGTGCACACCTATTACAGGAGCTACTTGGGAGGCTGAGGGAGGCGGGTTGAAAGTCAGAGACCAGCCTGAGCAACTTAGTGAGACTGTGTCCAAAAATAAAAAATAAAAATGGCTTGGGATGTAGCTCAGTGGAAGAGTGCTTGCCTAGCAGGCATAAACCCCTGGGTTCAATCCCTAAAACCACAAAAGCAAAGAAAGGAAAGGGAGAAAGGAAGGGGGGGGGAGAAGGAGAGAGGGAGAGAGAGAGAGAGAACTGTATGGTTTCATTGCTATGAAATTCTTGACAATGAAAACAAGTAGTAACCACATCAGTGGCTGCCAGCAGACAAGCACGCGATTGGGGTGGATGACAAAGGGGCACAAAGACTGGGGGGAGGGGGTTGTGGAAGCATCTGTGGTCTCTGTGATGTGATAGTTTCGGGTTTTGTTTGTGTCAAACTCACCAACTTTAGCCTGTGTATATTAGGGTTGTGTTAAATTGTACAGATACAGCCATAGACAGAGACCTCCATGTTGGGAGCAATGTTACATAGTTCTAGGGAAAAGTTATTTGGTTGGCCTGGTTCTCTTGCCTACAGCCCAGCTACAGAATGACTCCGGTTTGGCCTCCGCTCACAGCTGAGACTTCGGTGATCCAGTGGTGCTGTGATTCTCCAGGGCAAGAAACATCCTGGGAGAACAAACATCTGCTCAGTTCTTCATTGTTCTTGGACCGTTAACATCTTGTTTACCCAAGATGTACTGAACTCTCTGCAAGCCTTTTGTTACACCTTGTTTATCCCAATGTGAACTACTGAACTCTCTGTAAGTCATTTGTTGCATTTGTTTCTCCAGATGTACTGAATTCTCTGCAAATCATTTGTTACGAGGTAATGAATAAAAGGTGTGGTGGGCTGGGGGCTTTGGTCTTTGCTGCCCAGAGAGAGCAGCACTGATCAGACCCAAAGCTCAGCTTCTTCTCAGTCTCATTTGTCTACCTTTTCTGTAATTCGCCGTGTGCTGCCATGGCTCGCAGGAGACCAGAACTCACTGCAGAAGTTCTGGTAACATCCCCTTCCCCTGTTCTCTACACCTCCACGTCTGGGGACGCAGCTCAGTGATACAGCGCCTGCACAGCATGCTCGAAGCCCTAGGTTCCATGCCCAACACCACAAAAAAAACACATATTTTAAAATTTATTTTAAATATTTACATCAGAGCATCAAAAAATTAGGACTACAGTTCCTTTGAAGCACACTGAACCAATAAAAATCAATAAATTCATAATGATACTCAAAGAAGAGAAATTCAAGGCAATAAGAAAAAGCTCATGTGTTGCTAGTTGAGGGGATGGGAAAACAAACCTCTCCTTTAAAAATTAGTGACCTGCCAGGCATGGTGGTACACGCCTGTAATCCCAGCACTTGGGAAGCTGAGGCAGGAGGATCGCCGTGAATTGCAGGCCAGCCTGGGCTACATAGTCAGTTCAAGGCCAGCCTGAATTATAGAACGAGACCCTGTCTCAAAAGACCAAAAATAAAAAATTTTAAAAATAAAAATCAGTGACTTACCACGCAAGCGCAAGGACCCAAGTTCGATCCCCGGTACTAAAAAAAAAAATTAAAAATTAAAAAATCAGTGACTTAAAGACAAAGAATTCAAATTTACAGTATTCTGCCTTTCCAACAACTGCATGTCAATAAACACAAAGGGATTAATAAAGAGAGAGATTGCTATTTTCCCATCCTCAGTAAACGGACTGAGTCTACCGAGGATCACCTCTCAATGCATCATTCTCAGTGGATTGGGAATGGAGAGCTGCAGGTTCCTACAGTGCCAAGGGGGCTCGCAGAGGTCACTTCCTGGGCAAAAGCAGAAGGACAGCCACGCAGAGGGACCTCGCGGTGTCACCCCCAGACCAGCAGTGCTCCTGTGGAGGAGCAGCCGCACTGTAAGAGCCTCTTAGTGGGTGGGAAAACTAGCTGGGTTGTGCTTTATACCTAGGTGTCCTCCAAAGCCTCCTGGGCTCAAAGGCGGGGCTTACGGAAGGGGAGAGGCTCATGGGGCTCAAAGCTGTTAGGAGGTAGGGTCTGATTGGAGGCGGGGTCACTGGGGCATGGCCTGGGGGGGTTTCTGTCCCTTCCCGGCTCCTCCCTTCTCGCTCTGCTTCCTGTCCGCCACACTGTGAGCCACTGTCCTCAACCAGGCCCTCGCCGTGCCTTCCTGATTGGGACAACTTCCAGCCATGGGAGGACTGAAACTTCTTTTTCCTTTTGAAGCAAAGCATTTATTTGGTACATCTTCGATATACGTAGTGAAAACACTCATCACAGGGAATCTGTACCTGTACATGGTATATCTTGCTTGTTTTCCCCATCCCCCCTTGACCCCTCTTCCCTTCCTTATTCACAAAAGCTTTGTTTCCATGTTTTTCCTTCTAGTATCTTTTTTCTTGTCCCTTTTTTCCTTTCCCCTCTTCCCACCCTTGTTCCCTTTCCCATTTGAACACTTTCTTCCCATTTCCCAAAGTCTATTATACATTTTGGTCCTTGTTTCTACTTTCAGTTTTTCACACCAGAGAAACCATGCAATATTTAAACATATGTGACTAGCACTGAAACTTCTAAACCACAAGCTGAAATAAACCTCACCTCTGCTCCTTTAAGCCATGGGTGTCAGGTTTCATGTCCCAGCCACCAGGAAAGTAACTGGGACAAGCCACACCCTATGATGTATTCTTGCTGAGTTAACTTAGAGCTCTGAAGCCTTTAGCTTTAACTTTCAATTATAGGGATTTGGGGGGATGAAGAAACAGGCTTACCCCCACAACAAGAAAGCAGTTACAGAGTGGGCACTCTGCAGAAAAATGGGCCCAGGATGGTGCCGAAGGCTTGCTTTAGAGTCAAGGAACATAGAAGACCTAACAACCAGGTGCAATGTGTGGTTCTGTAGAAAGCTCTGATGGACATCATTTGGAGGGCTGCTTCGACTGGGTATTGGGTAATACTAAGGAATTTTTAAGGAATTCCTAATACTTAGGAATTTTGGCTACATTAGAAAATAGTTTCTGGGCCAGGGATTTAGCTCAGTGGCACCTCACCTGCCTCGTAAGCTCAAGGTCCTGAGTTCAATCCCCAGTACCAAAAATAAAATAAAATAAAATAGTTTTTAACATATAATGAACGCTAAAACTTGTAATTCACCAAATATCCCAAAGCCCCTACCCGTGTTTATGTGAATCCTTTCCAATGTTCACATGATTGGTGGCAAAAAGTCTGTAAGTCTAATTTTTATTATAAAATCAGAGAGCCATAGCTCAGTGGCGAGTGCTTGCCTAGCATCCATGAGGTCCCGGGTTTGATCCCACCACTGCGGCAAAAATGAATCGAACTTTATCAGGGGGACCAAAAGGCTCGGTGCTGTCGGACTCTAGAACATGGATAACACTACGGCAACACTGTCTCTGTACTAAGTGCTTTGCAGCCACCAACACTGACATCCCGCGGTGCGAGCCGCCGTGGCAGGATTATACTGTGTCCAAGGTGGCCCGCAGTGACGCTGCCTCTGGTGTCCCTGCCACAACCCCTGTGTGTGACCAGCAGGGTGTTGCCGAAAAGCTGTGTGCGGCTTCAGAGCCCTGGTCAGAAAGGGGAGTCTACAGCCAGAAAGACCCTGAATGCACCCGATCTCATCCCATCTCCCAAGGTCAGGAGGTCACTTATGGACTCTGGCTTGGGCTTCTCTGGGGGCTCCAGCTCCCATGTGTGGGTACACTCGATCACCCTAGTAGTCTGCGGCTCCTGCCCACAGCAGAACCTCCCTGCCAGTGCGTGTGTGAGCCACCACGGAGCAGGTCCCCCCCACCCCGCCTCACTCAGCCCCAAGGGAAGCCCAGCTGCAGTGCACCAGAAACCCAGAGCCAGGCCAGGTGGGCAGCACAGCTCAGACTACAGCTTTCTGGGGAAGAGCATTCCTCAGCAAAAGACAGTGACAGAGAGGCGACACAAGAGCTCTAGACACCAGGGCTGAGTTTCAGTTCCTGCTCCTCCACCGACTGCTGTGGCATTTTCTTTCTGGTAACCTCAGTTACTTTATCTTTAAAGAAAAATGTGGGGCCAGGGATTTAGCTCAGTGGTTCCGCTGCCTGCCTGGAAAGCACAAGATCCCGAGTTGAATCCCCGGTACCAAAACACATGTGTTAGGCACCTGCACCCTCTTCCCATGATGATTGTGATTGTTATGTACTACAAACACACACTAATAAAAACAAACTAAAGTTAAAATGGCATGAGGATATCACCTACTCACAAGCATCAAAGGTCTATAAAGCCCCTGGCACAGCGTGGGGCCCACTTAACAAAGGCTGGGTGCAGGATAAACACCGTGCTCCTCTGTAACCACACTCTGCCCAGCCCAGCCTCCCAAACACAGATCTCCCCCCGTGGAAAATGGATCAGAAATGCCTGCAGGGCTGAGGGCCAAAGCAATTCCTATCTTTAGAAGCTTTGCAGACGCTGAAGGACTAGCAAGCGCTGTCCCGTGATGGAGGGCCTGCCTGTCATGACGTCCTCCGAGGGAGGCTGAAATCGGGTTCTGCCAGTGTTCTGCTTTGACAACCACAGGCCCAAGAGGAGAGGCTGAGAGGCTGCTCCCCATGGCAGTCCTCAGGCCGCACAGCATCCACAGGGAGAGCTGAGCCATCAGGAGCTCAAACTCCAAAGCAGATAAGGGCATGTGACTGCCCGGGCGGTCAGGAGACCCAGAGAGGAAGCAAAAATGCAAACACCAGGGTCCTTCCTCATGACTTCGGAAGAAACGCGTGGAGTCCTGGGCCGAGAAGCTAGTGTCCCGGGCCGGACTCGCAAGGACGCTGTCCAAGGTCACGGGTCAGCGGCTCCCCGCCCCACCTCCCCTCTGCAAGCAGCCCCGTAGGGCACAGCTGGACAGGCAGGGCCCCAGCAGCTGGGTGCAGAAACAGGAAGACAACGACCCAACTTTGTCAGGTGATCCCCGAAAGTCGCCTTCCCGCCATCCCCGACAGTCCTGGCTTCGATACCCTAAATCCTCACGCCGAGCCACCTCCCACTCCTTCACGAATGCGCATGTGCAACCTCCCCGCAGAGCAGACGCTATGCCCTTTGCCTGGCAGACAAACTCCCGGCCCAGCACGCTGCTTTCTCCCACTGCAGGGCCATGACACGCACGTGATGTCCCCATCGCGGGAAACTTGCTTCTCTGGCTACTCCTCCATGCTCCTTATCTCCCTGCAGACCGAGGCTTGGGTACTGGGTACTGCTTTGTGCGTGTTTTGCCTCTTTCCACGCTTGTCTCCTCCGCTATCCTGCAGCCTCTTGTTCCGACCCCACTCCCATGGAGGTGCGGAGCGCGTGGTAGGGTTCAGCAAGTTTCTCGACTCAATGAACATGGAACGAGCACTTGGCTGAGGAATTGAAATCCTGAGCTGGCATTTTCTCTGCCTTGCACCTTTCACAGACAAGGGTCGGTGGTGAAGCTCAGGCTCACACTTTCCAAAGAAACTTCCGGAGGACCGCGGGAGGGAGTGCGCACTCGGCCCGATGTGTTATTTCTTCTTCAGCTTACTCATATCACTGCGCAGTGATCGCTGCTTGAAGGCACCAAAGGAGCTTGTACCATGAAGTAAACATTCAGTTACTGCCATAGGTCACTGTGGCTTGGGTCCTTTCCTGAGGAAAGCAGATGACGGAGAAAGGAACTAAGCCAAAACTTTACTCTTTATGTTCCAGTACATTTCCTTTTTAATAGGTACCCGAAAATCTTGCTTTGCTGCAAAAAGCCACAAAATATGCTGTGGAAAAATACTTATGATTCATAAAATACTTCTATTTCTGTGCATTGTGGTTAATGAAAATATTTGGATACTTTGCTTTTCAGTGTAATGTTTTGTGATAGCATCTTCATAAATTAAGCTGTGAGGACACGTTTGCCTGATGTTTTAGATGGATAAAAAGTTGCACTGGCACTAACTCTATCAGGCTGACAGCTCTGTACACAGTGGATAACTCTGTCACTAGATCTGACTCTTTTTACACATCTGTAATCACAGTTTTATTTTTGTTTTTATATATCAGTATTTGTGTGTATGACCAAGAGATTTTTTTCCTTGGAATCTCAAAATCCAACAGGTCTAAAATATTCTTAAATTAATTTTATTGGTACATTTTAGGTATACAATATAATGACATTCATCACTGGATATTTGTACCTTTACATAATCTCCATTGGTTCTTATGTTTTCCCCATTCCCTGCCCTCCCTTCAACCAGGTCTAAAATATTAATATAGGTAAATCATTATTTTCTGAAATGCCTCATTACCATAAAATGCTGCATAGCTAACAAATGAAAAATTCTTGTATGAAAATTTTGTTTTAAAAATTTAAAAACAGGGAGCTTGGAGCGTAGCTCAGTGGTAGAGCACATGCTTAGGATCCCTGGTTTCATACTCGGCACTGAAAAAAAAGAATAGGGTGTCTTACTAGACTTTCAGTGTAGACAGTAAATAAAGGCACACACAGAGTCAGCAAGCCCAGCTGGAAGGGTAACTCGAAATGACAGCACCTGGATGGCATCTCATGCCATGAGCCGAGGGTCACCAATGCACAAGTCCTGGAGTGAGCTCTCCAAGGTTAAAGGTCAGACACAGGAGGAATGGGGGGGGTGAGAAGCAGCTGAGGGGGTGCTGGGGGATGGGGTAGAGGGGCCAGGAGCTACACAGCCCATGCTGGGCCCTGATTGATATTTCTGAACCTGTGTTTCCTGAACTGCAATTCCTAAGACCTCAAAAAAGTCCTTTTTCTGAAATGAACAGACATTTCTCAGACAAAGAAGTAAAAGCATCAAATAAACATATGAAAAAATGTTCAACATCACTGGTCATTCAAGAGATTCAAATGAAAACAACACTGAGATTCCACCTCACCCCAGAAAGAATGGCTGCTATCATGAAATCAACCAATAACAAATCCTGGTGGGGCTGTGGGGAAAGAGGAACCCTGCTCCACTGCTGGTGGGAGTGTAGACTGGTGCAAGCACTGTGGAAATCAGTATGGAGATACCTCAAAGAACTAGGACTGGAAGTCCCATTTGACCCAGCTGTTCCCCTGCTGGGTATCTTCTCCCCCAAAATTAAAAGAATCATACCACAGTGATATATGTGCACCCATTTTTTGTTTGTTTGTTTGTTTATTTTTTGGTACCGGGGATCAAACTTGGGTCCTTGCCTTTGTGGGGCAGGCAGCAGAACCACTGAGCTAAATCCCCAGCCCTAAAACTTTATTTTGGCTCACAGTTTTTTTGTTTTTTGGTTTTTTGGTACTGGGGATCGAACTCCAGACCTTGCTTGGACTTGTGAGGCAGGCAGCAGAACCACTGAACTAAATCCCCAGTCCCATTGTGCACCCATGTTTATAAGGGCACAGTTTGTAATAGCGAAAGCTTGGAAATAACCCAAGTTCCCATCAACTGGAGACTGGATAAAGAAGGTGTGGTTTTTTTATAAAATGGACTACTACTCAGCCATAAAGAACCAGAAACTAGAGACATTTATAGCTAAGTGGATGCATATTGAGGCCATCCTCTTAAGTGAAATAAATAGGACACACATGTGTAAATACCAAATAGTTTCTCTGGTGTGAGAAACTGAAAGTGTAATTGAGGATGCACACAGATGAAATTGCCTAATAACATATTTCTCGGATTGTGTTTCCATTGTGTGTCATATGACTGTATCGAAATTTAAATTAGGGAGAAGCTTGGCTTATGTGGAGTCTGCTAGCTAACTGGAGTTTTTTTCCAGACCACTATTTATTCAATGTTGGTTTTGGGGACCTTTCTGAAACAAATCACATCCTCTGGTGTCTTGTTGGTACTTGAGATGTTTTTTTAAGTTATATGGAAAAATGTTTAAATGCTTTTCAGTTTTGTTTTGGTTGAGTTCTACTGTATTTGAATATTACTGTAGGTTTTTTTCCCTTGCATTGTTCTTCTTTGAATGGTTTTAATTTCTGTATGTGTGTGTTTGATAATAGTTATTTTTTTTAAAAAAAAGTCTTTTTGCCTTTATATCCTCTTCTTTCTTCTTGTCAGTTTTTATTTCTTATAGTACGTGCTCACAGTGTGTAATGATTGCATTCCCTGTGCAGAGCTGTGATGTGCCTAACACATATTAATTCTTTTTATATCCCCTTTCCCTCACCTCTCCCCCTTTCTCTCCAAGATGGGAAGAGGATCAAGAGATCTTCTCTTCCTTTCCCTCCCTTCTCTTCTCCTCTTCCCTCCCTCCCCCTGCTTCCCTTCCCTTCCCTTGCAGTGCTGGGGACCAAACCCAGCCCCCCCCCCTCCCCCGTGCACGCTGGGCAAAGGCCCCATCACAAAGCAACTTCCCCAGCTTGTACAGCTTCCAAGATTGACTTGATGGACAGAGGCTTGGGGAGGAGGCTTAGGAGAACCATTGTAAGGAAGTCAGGCCACACAATTGCTCTAGGGCCTCCAGGGCCTACTGGAAATTACCAGTAGGGATGTGGTGCAATTCCTCAGCAGTCCCCAGGATTTCCCTCCAGCCCTGGGTCACAGGTGATGGGTGACTCCCATCTCTTGCTTTCTGCACAAAGCAAATCCAGTGAAAACTTCAAATTGTCATGCACTCATTCATTTACTCATTCAATTAACGGATGTTCATAGATGGGGAGTGTAGCTCAGTGGCGGCTTAACCCAGGCTTAGCATGGAAGAAGCCCTGGGTTTAAACCTCTGCACTGACAAACAAAAACCAAAAAACCCAAAGACCAGATATTTCTTGAGAACTTCCTGTAAAAGGTACTATGAAAGTTGATGCACACATCTGTAAATACCAAATTGTCTCTCTGGTGTGAGAAACTGAAAGTGTAAATGAGAACCAAAATCTATAATAGATAATGTGAAATAGGAAGAAAATGTTCAAAGGGGAAGGAGAACTATGGAGGGGGGCAGGGGAAAGGAAAGAAGGGAAAGAAAAAAATGAAAAAAGGAAAATACAGAAACAAAGCTTTTGTAAATAGGAAGGGGTAGAGAGGTTGAAGGGAGGGAAAGGGAATGAGAAAAATAAGAACCAAGATATACCATGTACAGGTACAAAGCCCTAAGGATGAATGTGATCAGAATGTATACCCAAAATGTACCAATAAGCTTAGTGAATTTTAAAAAAAGCCACAGGCAAGCAGATGCAATCATGTCTATATCAGAGTGAGATACTGACAAATTATGGGGCAATAAAATAGTTTGCTAACCTGCACAGGAAATGAAGCTTCTATAATTCCAGCACTTGAGAGACAAGAGGAATACTGTGAGTTCAAGAGCTACACACTGAGCTCAAGGCCAGCCTGAACTACGCGTGGGACCCTGTCTCAAAAAAACCAGAACAAAAAAAGAAATAAAACAAATGAAGCTTTTAGTGACATACACAAGCAAAATGACAACATACACAAATTCCAAATTTCAGGAAAGAATCCACGAAAAGGGTGGAATTTCTAGCCCCACAAGTTACTAAATGGGATCGGAAGTTAGCTAATTCCATCTTCCACTGAAAATAAGGAAATCCTGGGCCAGCCGCAGCTCCCGTATTGTCTGGCTCAGAAGCGCCCTCGGGGGACACAGGACCCCCCCAGAGGCCACCACAGCTGGCTGCCCTCCTTCCGGGGCAGAAAGAGCCAAACGGGGCTCAGGGCCCTTGTGGAGGACAGATCGCATGACAGTCCCCATGACCCTCTCCCGGTGTTCACAGGGCAAAGGAGGGGGTGTCACCTGCTGGCTCCTTTCACGAAGCAAGTTTCCGTGCTGCTGGGGCCACAGTGCGGGCAGCGGGGTGACTTCTGTCCCGAGCTACCTAGGAACTGAGGTCCTGGGCCCAGCTGCTCCTGAGGAACTGGATCCTGCAGCAGCCACACAAGCAAGCCAGGAAGAGTATTCTCCCTGGGTTGAGCTGTGGGATCAGACTTCTGCCTTGGGCGCCGCCTTCAGTGAGGTCTTGGGGGGACCATGAAGCAGGGGGCCCGTGCTGACCTCATCCAGACCACTGACCCCTGACCCACAGGAACTGAGGTCGTAGGTGTGCGTTGTTTCAGGATGCTATGTTGAGGCTAATTTGTGGCTCCGCGGTAGATAAACCATTGAGGTCCGGGGAAAGGTGTCTGAGACATACAGTGAAGATTCTCTTGGGCCCAATCAGCGCTGGCCCCAGTGGACAACTTGAGTGAAACAGAAGTACTGTACACAGGAAAAACAAAACAAGGAAACGAAGAGCGCTGTGGATGGAGCTCGGTGGTAGACTGCTTGCCTAGCACGCATGAAGCCCTGGGTTCGTCCCCAGCACCAACAACACAAAGAGTCAGCACACAGCTGCTGCGCAGCTGATGATCACAGGCTGTCAGGAAAAGAGCAGCGGTCGAGTTGAGCATCACTGGGCAGGAGGTTGGGGCAGTGGGGAGGTGACCCCGACTCCCTCTACTCAAGAACAGAGATGTCTGGTGTGAGACCAGGGTACACCCAAGAAATGCCCCCTCATGCCCCTCCCCTTATAAAATTGATGTTTTTGTAACTGCTTGTTCTGCTTCTGTAAACTTGCTTCAAGGCTTCTCAGAAAGAGACAGTGCCTGGTGCCTCCCTTTACTGTAAATTGCCCCAACCTGATAAGACAGCAAGACAGCTGAGTTGTGAAAAATACTTTTGCAACTAGTCAAAAACATGTTAATCTACCCTTGAACTTCTCTTTTTAAAATAACACCTATAAAAGCTATGCTGCTATGACACCCTATATAAACTGTGCTGTTCCTGGACTCAGGGCTTCACTTCGCTTAAGGAGTGGAGTCCACGCATGTGAATAAACTCCTTTCAGTTTAACTTTGTCGTTGGTCCCAGTGTTTGGTGATTTATCGGCTCGCTTGGCACAACATCTGGACACTGCAGGGATGAGGGACCAATTGGCACCTGGAGGCTTCCTGAGGTGGGTGCAGACTCCACTCTGGGCCCCAGGGAGGGCACAGAAGATGGGAAGGACCTGGAGGCACAGAAGGTACTCAGCCCCCCAAGCTGACTGTAATGCTGCACAGCAAGCTCTGTCTCTGTAGGGACAAAGACGCCCGAGTGCACCCAGGAATCAGTCACCTGGCGGGCAGGGAGGAGCCCAGCAGAGAGCGCTTGTCTGGCACTCGTGAGCTCCTGGGTGTAATCCTCAGCACTGCAGTAAAGAGGAAGAAGAAAGGGAAGGAGGGAAGTCAACACACGCAAATCAGTAAATGCGATAATACACCACATGCACAGAAACACGGCAGAAATCACAGCCTCTCACTTGACGCAGAAAAAGCCTTGGCAAACTCCAACACTCACTCATGATAAAAAGAAAAGGACCTGAGGAAAACAGATATCGAGGATCTTGTCTCAATCTGATAAATGCCAAGGGCCAACACTGCATTAAATGGCCTGGAGCTGAACGCTTGCCCTCTAAAATTAAGAACAAGGATGTCCGCTATCACCACTCCTGCTCAACAGTCCTCAAAACATTAGCAAGAGCAATCAGGCAAGAAAAAGAAATAAAAGGGATACGGTATCGGAAAGGAAGGAGTCACAGTGTCATTATTTGTAGATGTCATGATGCGCTGCGTAGAAGATCCAAAGAATCCACCAAAAGTCTCCTATAATTAACAACCAAATTCAGTAGTGTAGCAGGATACAAAGTCAGCACGCAAAAGTCAACAGTGTTCCTGTACCCCAATAATAAAGTCCCCAAGGAAGAAATTAGGGAAGCAATGCCTTTCACAATAGCATCAAGAAAAGTTAAATACTTAGGAATTAACCTAACTGATGAAGCGAGACCTCTACAGCCAAAATTACGGCACTACAAAAAAGATTGACGAGGACCTCAGAAAATGGAAAGGTGTCCCCTGCTCCTGGGTAGGCAGAACCAACGTTGCTTCCAAAACTGAAGTACAGACTTAATCCAATTCCAACCAAAATACCAGTAGCACTCCTCACAGAACCAGAGAAAACAATCCTAAAATTCGTGTGGAACCAGAAGAGACCCAGGAGAGCAAAAGCAACCCTGGGCAAGAAGAGTAAAGCAGGAGGCATCACAATCCCAGACCTCGACTCATACTACAGATGACACTTTAGTGATACACACAGCATGGTATTGACATGGGGGAACAGATGCAACTGTCAAACCTGCTAGATATCTGAAACTCGAGCTCCTGTTCTCTACAATTGAAGAATGAATTCTAGGAACAACGGAGGTTAAGAGTAGGAAAAATTTATTGAGAGACAGCTTCGGTCTAACAGAGACAACTGCCCAGGGACCCTGTTTCCCAGGGGGTTTTTTGTTTTTTAATTTTTTTTTTTTGGTACCAGGGATCAAACGCAGGTCCTTCTGCTTATGAGGCAGGCGGCAGAACCACTGAGCTAAATCCCTGGCACCCAGGGGATTTATATGCAGCAAAGCCATGAGGTGAGGCAGGTACAAAGTGGGACAAAACTATAGTCAACTAGTAAGATTACAAGTACAGTTGCTTAGGTAATATTGGTCCAATGAGAATTCACAAGGTGGACATGAGGTGGGACAAAACTATGATCAACCAATAAGATTACAAGTATAGTTGCTTAGGTAATATTGATTAAATGGGGATCCAATAGGGAAGCAAGTCACATAGCAAGCGTACAACAACTGAACAAGAATTTTTGAGGGATGCGTCAGGGATCTTCCCTGGAAGGGGTGTGTAAGATCTTGGTCCCCCACCCAGGTGATTGATGGCTACTTGGAATATTAGTCACTGCTATTCATCCCTAGGGGAAGCACCGGGGTGCAGTAGCTTCTCTCCTTTTACAATGCTGGCCTTCAGTGAATGTGTCTTCACTGTCCTCCATGGTGGTTCCTCAAGGGCCAGCCCTGTCTAACTGCCTACAAGATATCTAATTAACTGACTTATCCACAATAGCATTGGGGGAAAAACCTCAGACGTATGGATCAATGGAATAGAACACAGAGTGCAGAAACAACCCCAGGTACATTCAGCTACCTGATCTTTGACAAAGGGGCCAAAAACTCACACTGGAGGAAAGATGGCCTCTTTAGCCAATGGAGCTGGGGAAACAGGCTGTCCACGTGCAGAAGACCGAGTCTAGACCTGTATCTTTCACCACGTACTAAACCAAAATCAAAATGGATCAAAAGTCTAAGTATTAAAACAGAAACACTTGGGCCGGGGATTTAGCTCAGTGGTTTGGGCGCCTGCCTCCCAAGCGCAAGGTCCCAAGTTCGATCCCCGGTACCAAAAAAAAAAAAAAAGAATAAAAAAAACACCCAGAAACACTTAATCTACTGAAAGATAAAACAGATAAAACCCTTGAAGATGTAGACAGGTCTTTCTGAACAGAAACCCAGCGGCACAAGAAATAACACTAAGAATCAACAAATGGATCACATCAAATTAAAAAGCTCTGCACAGCAAAGAAAACAACCGATGGAGTGGAGAGACAGCCTACAGAATGGGAAAAGTTGTGCCAGCTATTCCTCAAACAGGAGACTAATATCTAGAATACATAAGAACTCAAAAAAAATTATACCCCCTAAAAACAAAAGACCCAATTGAAAAAAGGGCAACTGAAATGAATAGACACTTCTCAGAAGAAGTAAAAGTAACCAATAATTACATGGAAAAATATTCGACCCACTAGCTAGTAAAGAAAGGCAAATTAAAACAACACTGAGATTCTATCTCAAAAGAATGGTCATCATCCAGAAATCAGATAACAACACACAAAGGGGGGCGGGACCCTTCTGCATTGTTGATGAGAGAGTGAGCTGGTGCAGCCACTGTGGAAATCAGCATGGAGATTCCTCAAAAATACTGAAACTAGAAATTCATCTGACCCAGCTACTCCACTTGTAGTTTCTTCCCAAAAGATACATATAACAGTGTATCCCATTATGGTGATCCGTGCATACCCATGTTTATAGCAGCACATTCACAATTACTAAATCTTGAAATAGGCCTATAAGTCCATCAACAACTGAATGGATAAAGAAAGTGTGTATTTATAGACCATAGAGTACTACTCTGTCATAAAGAACGATAAACTTGAGTCATTTGTAGGAAAGTGGATGCACCTGGAGAGCATAATGTTACATGAAATAAATCAGACCCACGAGCTTAAATATGGCATGGTTTCTCTTAGGTGAGAAATCCAAAGTATAAATAAAGAGCAACATAAAAGATAGAAAATAAGGAGACAGATCATTTGCAAAAGGGCAGGCGACGAAGAGATGGAAGGAAAGGGGACAGACGGGAGGGGAAGAGGATTTAAAAGAATTAAACGCCCCACGAGGACTGATCACCACACACAGCAAATATGGGCTGATAAAGATCAACAGCGAAGGGGCCAGGGATTTAGCTCAGTGGTACCACGCCTGCCTCGCAAGTGCAAGATCCTGAGTTAGATCTCTGGTACTGAAAATAATAACAACAACAATAATAATAATAATAATAATAATAATAAGTGGCGAAGGAGGGAGAGGAAGACGGAGAGAAGCGGAGGCCGAGAGCAGCCCAGGGAACCCAGTGGGCCCCTTCAGGGACAGAGGGGAGGCCAGTGCCCGCAGCTGCAGGACGCACCCTGGCTGTCCCCAGGAGTGTCCTCACTCTGTGACAGTCCACCAGGGACGTAGGGCAGAGAGTGCCCTGCAGCCAGGAGGGCGGAAGCAGCAGGCAGCTGTGCCTGACTCAGCCTGGTGTGTGCTTGTCCTCTGTTTTCACCTTAGCTAATATTTAAAAAGCAGACAGAGTCAGCTACAAATAGAGATTTCCACCTCGTCCCCAGGGCAGGGACAGCGCGGTGCTCCTGCGCTTATTTGCTGGTCGGCTGGAGTCCCCAGGGCTGGATGCTCCCGGGCCTGACCTCACTCCGGCTAGCTGCACCCTCCTCGTCTCTCTGCCTGCTCCTCACACCAGTCACAGCCCCTGAGCCTCTTGGCTTTTCTTACAGAAATATCTCTAGACACTCTCAAAAACAGAAGATGGAGCCAGGCTTGGTGGCACACACCTCCCAAGGAGGCTGAGCCAGGAGGATCACAAGTTGGAGGTCAGCCCGAGCAATTTTTTTTTTTTTTTTGGTACCGGGGATCAAACTCGGGTCCTTGCGCTTGTGCAGCACGCAGTGAAACCACTGAGCTGAATCCCCGGCCCTTCATCCCGAGCAATTTAAGGAGATAGTGTCTC